ATAAATTATTTGTTAAACATTATCAAAACAAGAAGGCCAACAGCTTTGGCTATTTCAGAAGCGGACATGAGCAGACTTTGGCACTATAGGTTGGGGCACACAGGTGAAAAGTCACTGCAGGCATTGTATAAGCATGGGCTATTGAAGGGAGCCAAGAGTGGGAAGATTGAGTTCTGTGAGCACTGTGTTCTTAGCAAGAAGACGAAGGTGAAGTTCGGGACTGCTATTCATCAGACGAGGAGCATCCTGGATTACGTGCACACAGACGTTTGGGGTCCCACCAAGACTGCATCACTTGGTGGTCGACATTGGTTCATCACTTTTGTAGATGACTATTATGACGAGAAGTCCTAGATTTGTTTGTGGGTTTGTGGAGTGGAAGAAGAGATTGGAACTGCAGACTGGGAGAAAGATCAAGACGTTGTGATCCGACAACGGTGGTGAGTATACTTCTGACCCCTTTAAACAGCTATGTCGAGACGAGGGCATAGAGAGACACTTCACAGTTAGTCATATACCGTAGCAAAATAGGGTGGCAGAGAGATTGAATCGGTCTTTACTGGAGAAGATCCGATGCTTATTATCGCGGAGTGGTTTGGAGAAGATCTTTTAGGCTGAGGCACTTACATATGCGAGCCACCTTATTAATAGGCTGCCTTCATCTGCGATTGAGGGGAAAACCCCTATAGAGATGTGGTCGGGAAAGCCAGCACATGACTATGACCAGCTTAAGGTATTTGGGTGCGCTGCATATTATCATGTTAGAACTGATAAATTGGAACCTCGAGCTAGGAAGGCCATATTTGTAGGATTCAAGCGTGGTGTCAAGGGATACAAGCTTTGGGATCCAGTTGATAAGAAGATTGTGCTGAGTAGGGACGTCACATTTGATGAGGCTTCTATCTTGAAGCTTCCCAGCTCTCATCAGGTGGAGAGCGACCCGACGGAGGAGATATCACAGGTGGTAGAGATCGATGCAGCTCCACATTGTCCAGATGGTACAGTATCCATGCAGGTGCCGACTGAGGTGACGCCAGGCGAGCACGACGGTGACACGGAGGATACGAGTACAAATGTGCAGGATCAAGAACCGACGGCTCAGGTTCAGGATTCGATTGCGGCTCGGAGACAGAGGAGAAACATACAGATGCCAGCACGGTATGCCGACACAGTTGCGTATGCACTTCCGGTAGAGAGTATCGATGAGTTAGTGCCTACTACATTCAGAGAGGCCGAGCAGAGTTTGGAGGCTGATTCGTGGCAGGTGGCTATGCAGGAGGAGATGGAATCTCTTCATAAGAACGATACATGGGAGCTTGTTGAGCTTCCAAAGGGGCGGAAGGCAATTGGTTGCAAGTGGGTATACATGAAGAAGGAGGGCATCGATGGCACTCCATTGAGGTTCAAGGCTAGGTTGGTTACGAAGGGCTATGCACAGGAGGAAGGTATTGATTATAATGAGGTTTTCTCTCCGGTGGTGAAGCACTCTTCGATTCGGATTCTGCTAGCTTTGGTGGCACGGTATGGTTTGGAGTTAGATCAGTTGGATGTGAAGACGGCATTTCTTCATGGTGATCTTGATGAAGAAATATATATGACTCAGCCATTGGGATTCCGAGCTGCAGGGAAGGAAAAATTGGTTTGCAGGTTGAAGAAATCGCTATACGGTTTGAAGCAGTCTCCTCGACAGTGGTATAGGCGATTTGATGGTTTTATGCTTGGTCATTCGTACACTCGGAGCCAGTTTGATCCTTGCGTATATTTTCGCAAGGTGAAAGGAGGTGCGTACATTTATTTGTTGCTCTATGTCGATGACATGTTGGTTGCCTCTATTTCCAGGTCGGCTATAGATGAGTTGAAAGTTCAGCTTTCAAATGAGTTTGAGATGAAGGACTTGGGCGAGGCGAAGCGCATCTTAGGGATGGAGATCGGTAGAGACAAGAATAAGGGAAGAATTTGTTTGACACAAGTGGCTTATTTGAAGAAGGTTCTACAGCGATTCCATGTTAGCATGGATACGAAGCAAGTTAGTGTACCTTTGGGAGCCCATTTGAAGCTTTCAGCTGGTCTTTCACCAAAGTCAGTTGAAGATCGAGAGTTAATGTCGAAGACTCCATATGCGAGCGCGGTTGGGAGCTTGATGTACGCAATGGTATGTACGAGGCCGGATTTGTCACAGGCGGTAAGCATGGTTTCGAGATACATGCATGATCCAGGAGTGGGTCATTGGGACGCCGTGAAATGGATTTTGAGGTACATTCGAGGTACGCTCAATGTTGGTTTAGTTTATGAGCGGGACACTACAGGTGGGCAGCTATGCATTGGCTATATTGATTCGGATTATGCCGGGGATTTGGATAAGCGTCGGTCTATGACGGGGTATGTGTTCACTTTGACCCGTGCGCCGGTGTGTTGGAGATGCACCTTACAGTCGACGGTGGCTTTGTCTACGACGGAGGCAGAGTATATGGCAGTTACGGAGGCTGTGAAGGAGGCTATTTGGCTTCGAGGACTTTTGGAGGAACTTGATATATCGTAGAGGTCCATCACTATTCATTGTGATAGCATGAGTGCTATCTATTTGGCGAAGAATCGGGTTTTTCATGCGCGGATGAAGCACATTGACGTTCGTTATCACTTCGTTCGGGATGTTCTTGAAGATGGCGATGTGGAGATTGTTAAAGTCCACACGAAGGATAACCCGGCGGGTATGCTCACTAAGGTGGTTCCGAGCAACAAGTTTGATCATTGTCGAAACTTGTTGCATATTTATGATTGTTGAGGCCGTTGGCGGCTATTTGGGTGAACTACGTTCGGCTTGATTCCTTGGGCAAGAGGATACGTAGGCAGTCTTTTAGATGTAGCCGGTTTGGATTAGTTGATGGGGGTGAGATTGTTTGGACTCTCGTTCGGGTTCTCAACTTGTTATGGATTGAGTTCGTACTGGACACAACAGGTTGGGACATTTGGTTGCTTTGGTGTCGGTTCAGTTTTGGGAAAACTTCACCGAGGTGGAGAATTGTGAAGGGACAGCGTGTGGGGGCCATTGCAATTGAGAACGTGGCCACGTTCTCATGTTCTCAACATTTTTTGCTTCTTTGTTGTTGAGTGGGGGCCACCACATGATGTTAACGCGTGAAGAAGCCAAGCCGGCCCACCCGAATCACAAGCCTATATATTCTTTTTTGCCTAGGGTTTAGGTGAGTAGGAGGTGATTTGTTTGCTTTTGCGGCTGCGGCAGGAGCATAGGAGTTTTTGGTTTTGTGTGGCTGCGGGGAAAAATCACTGCAGGAGGTTTGTGTTGCGGCTACAGAGAAGGTGCAAAAGATAAAGAAAAGAAGAGGCTTTTCTTTTTAGAGTTTTTGTGCATCCCTTTGAGAGAGATAATTGTGTGAGGGATTTGAGAGATTGTGTGAGGGTTTAGATTGAGTGATTGTAAACCCTAGTTGTATTCTCTCCCTCTATTAGTAGATCTCCCCCCCCCCCTCCTTGCCCCGTGGACGTAGGCAATTTGCCGAACCACGTAAAAATTGGTTGTATCGTTTTTGTGTGATTTGTAATAGCTTTTTAGGTTCCCTCGACGCGCAGTCCTAGAGCTGACGAGAGAAAGAGCAAATATCCCACTTTGATGGGATATTAGGCTTCAGATTCTTGTTCCCTTTGAGAAATAAGAATTCTTATTGCGACCTAACTCTTGTTGTGCTGCCGAAGTGCTGTCGAAATTTCCGCTGCGCGCAACATTGCCTTCCCTATTGCTTGTTCCTGGATAAACATAAAGATATATCAAGTTGTTGTATAACCTTTAGAATTGGTTAGTAATGCGATGTTTTGTAAATGTTCTTCTAAAGTTGTACTCTATTAACCAAATGTTCTAATATAAAATTAAAATCCTAAGTTCTCATTGTGATTTTGGAGTTCTGATCTAGTGAAAGAGACTTTACGATGTTGTGATAAGTCATCCTAAAATCTCATTGAATACACGTACATTTGGAATGATCTAAAAAATTATTATTGCATAAAACGACTCATATTTCAGCCCAAAAGTTCCAACAACATAAGAGTTCATCTTTTTGTATCTGATCTGGATCATCTTAGTTATCATCAAATAAAGGATAGGTCATTACTTCTAATTACAATCATCTATTGAATGACAGATTGTTGGAAATTGTCTGGAATGTAAGGTGAAAATAAGTGCAAATCATGAAGGTTGCAACATATAGATGTTTGATTCTGCAACAACAGTCAAAATATTATAATATGTAGTTGTGACACAACGGTGGTTTTCCTAACTACTTTATGATGTAATGGTTAGGGACTTTGACATGCTATCAGAGCAATTCAAGTTCAAATCCCACAGATCACGAACTTAAAGCGGACTTTTTAAAACTGACAGAGCTTCGTGCCAGGTTTTTTCAGCCCATAATAAGGACCATCAACTTGTGAGGATAATGTTAAATATAATTCTCAACCCTCATTTAATTACAACTCCATATTTTTTTAAAGCGACTTTAGTTATCACTATTAATTTATTTTATGAACTGCACTCATTCTGATCACTTTTCATTCAAGATATATAAAATCATACTCATCTACTAAATAATAAAAAAAATTACTTAAAAAAAATTAATCACTTAATAAAATTTTTAACATGATAGAAGACATGAATTCTAGAATTGGAAGCATAGCTTGCCTGTCCTAAACCTCCAACCATATGAAGAATCTCTTCTACTTCCAAATTCATAGCTGCCTCCTCCTCCTTGTCCTTGTTCCCTAATAAACTCTCTTCCAAGTTTTTGCATTTTCTCTCGAAGCCTTGTGCATATTTATAGTACTTCTTGTTAAAATGTTTGTGGCAAATAAAAAACATGAGTAATTTTCTTTTTTTTGATGGCCTTGTTTGTGTTAAGAAAGGGAAGGGCCAATGGGCTACAGCCTGCAGGCCCATTAAAAAAATCCCCATTTTTATCTCATCCCTCTCTATCCGCGGGCGTTAAATCAAACGCCTCTCGGGCAATCAATCTACGATCAGTCGATCGAGATGAGCATCGTCCCAAAAGAGACGATCGAGGTAATCGCGCAGAGCGTCGGGATCCCAAATCTCTCCTCCGACGTCGCCCTCGCCCTCGCTCCCGATGTCGAGTACCGCCTCCGCGAGATCATGCAGGTAGTCGAAACCCTAATTCTCGCGCTTCCCCCCACCCCAAATCCTAGGTCTCTTTTTCAAAACCCTAGTTTTTGTTTCAGGAAGCGATCAAGTGCATGCGGCATTCGAAGAGGACGGTGCTGACAACGGATGATGTCGATAGTGCTCTCAGCCTGAGGAACGTTGAGGTAGCTAAAGTTAGCTTCTTTTTTTTCTTCTTCTTTTTTGGATTTCGAGTTGTTTGCACTTTAACACCCGAAAGTTTTAAAATTGACGTTAATTTGATACCCCAAAGCCGAAACCTTGTTCCTCACTTTCCCCATACTCAACAAACTGAAATTTGGTTAAAAGAAAAAATTTCTCTCTCGTTCGCTTTTCCGCGTTGACGGTCTTGAACAGAATTGAAGTCGGCTCTTTTGTATTTGGGATATCAGATCTTCAAAAGGTGAAATTGGGGTATTAATGTGCAAATACTATTTTAAACCCTAAAACTCATAAGTCGTATCAAATAGGTCTCACATTTTATAAGATGTTATCTTTAGCATTAATAAATTCAACACGTTAAAGTTTTCTCTGTTGGGAATTTATTGCCCGAGAACAAATACAAACGCCGTTCAAGAAGGCCAAATCAACCAATTTAATAGCACAAACGCAAACAACCAATTTTTACGTGGTTCGTCAATTTTGCCTACGTCCACGGGAGCGGCACAATTAATTTCTTATTAATAACAAGAAATTACAAATAAGAGAGGATCTCAAACTTGAGATCTCTCAAACAAATAGCAGGTGATTTTAATCTAAAATCACCGCTCAAATACTCTCTCTTAACTACCCAAAGAAACCCCCAATTAAATTCACCAAACTCCTCTTCTCAATAAATGAGTACAGGACAAATGGGACCAATCACAGTGAGAACGAGAGAGACAAAACCCAAATCGGAGAGAACAAAAAATTCCCTCTGCTCCGCTCCTCTTTTCTCCCTCTCTCTGCACAAAATCGCCGCCACCAACTGGGGTTTCAAGCCGCTCCACTTTGCACGAGAATAGGGTTTCCCTTATATAGGGAAACCCTAGGGCAATCGAGCTCAACAGCTGGAGCCAGCTGTTCTCCACTCACAGGTGAGCCCGACTCCTCAACAGGCGAGTCCCAATCTCACCTACAAACTTCGCCAGCAGGTGAGTCCAAACCCTCAACAGGCGACCACGCCTTGCCCGTCCAACCGTCGCCTGTCAAGCCTCGCCAGACGAAACCCACGCCTGCACAAACGTCGCCCGCACGACCTCGCCATCATGCAAGCCCCTTGCCTCCGCGTACAGGCGAACTCGTCGCCCTCGCCTACAGGCGAGCCCACCTTCGCATGTCCAATCCCGCAGGCGAGATCTGTTCAACCTGCAGGCGAGCTTCTCAGCTCCGATCTCAGGCATCTCAGATGAGTCCTTCTCTCCAAATCTACATTCTCGTTATACCGTCATCTTCTTTAGGATCTTTCTGTTGCAGGAACTCAACGTTTTTGAACTAGAAATGAATGCAAAGATGAGGTTAAACAACAATTATAAAGGATAAACACCAAGACTAGAGAGTAAAACAAATGAGAGGGGCCTATTGGTATTAGCTGAAATTTTGAAAAAAAAGACAAGACAAGGTTATAATTGGAAATTTTGATGATGTTAAGTTCTTATTTTAGTTTGAAGTAATAGATTCTAAATGAGGGGCTTATTGGATACAACTTATGAGATTTGCGGCCACTTATTTAAATTTTACGTGTTTGATTCGCGGTACTTATTAAAGTATACGTGTTTGAGGGGCTTATTTTAAAATATACAAGATTTGAGGACCGATTTTAGAAAACCCTTCTTTTTTGTTGTAATATTGAGAAATAGGAAATTTTGTGCTGAAATTGTGGGAGTTAACACGTTGGTATTGTTTTTTAAAATGTAATCTTTGGTGAATTTAGTAAAGGTTTAAACTGCAGGATAATTTCGAGCTGATGAGTGATAATGTTGTTGAATTTTAGCCTATTTATGGGTTTGCCTCTGGAGACCCTCTGCGGTTCAAGAAGGCTTTAGGACATCAGGATCTGTTCTACCTTGATGACAAAGAAGTGGACTTTAAGGATGTAAGAAATCATGTTAATTGGAATGATCTTTTTTTTTCATTTTTGGTCCAATTTTGTGGCAATTGTGTAATTGTTTTGTTTGTTGGGGATTTGGGGTTTACAGATAATTGACGCTCCTTTACCAAAAGCACCACTGGATACATCTGTAGTTGCACATTGGCTTGCAATTGAAGGAGTGCAGCCCGCGATTCCAGAAAATGTACCTGTTGATGGTATGTTCATTCATGTAGTTTATTAACTCTTATATATTGTTTTATCTTACATTATCTTGCTTTGTACAATTGAATCATCTTTTTTAATCAGATCTCATTTGGATTGCTATCTCTCTGTTTCCAGCACTTGTTCCACCTTCAGAGACCAAAAGGACTGAGCATGTCAAGGAAGATGGACTTCCTGTTGATATCAGACTGCCTGTTAAACATGTACTATCTAGGGAATTACAGGTGCCATTTTAAATGATCAGTTTTCGATTTTTCCGATTAATTATCTCTGTAAACCTGATTGGGACAATCACCAGTTGTTTAATATTTGTCTCATTTCTCTCATTTGAATATGCAGCTATATTTTGATAAGATCACTGAGCTTGCCATGAGTAAGCCTGAGTCCGTCCTTTTCGAGAAAGCATTAGCAAGTTTAGCTACGGATTCAGGGCTTCATCCTTTAGTTCCTTATTTTTCTTTCTTCATTGCAGATGAGGTTGGTGTTAATCGTCCCTTCAGTTTTGTGTAGAAAAAGTTTGATTTCACTTCGTATACATGCTCCGTTTACAGGTCTCACGAAGTCTGAATGATCTTCCTGTCCTCTTTGCACTAATGCGCATTGTCCGTAGTCTACTTCGTAACCAGCACATACACATAGAGCCTTATGTAAGCTATTTCTTGTTGATAATGAAGTTTGCTTTGCACGCATCTATAATGATTATTTTTTAACCATTTGATTTGCAATCAAATTTCTTTTTTCCAAACATAATTTTTTCTAGTGGAATTGAATCAAGAGTACTCCTAAGAATAGAACAATTTTGCTTTGATCTCATTTGTTGTTCTTATCACAGTTACATCAGCTTATGCCTTCAATGATAACATGCCTTGTTGCAAAAAGACTGGGACAGAGGATTGCAGATAACCATTGGGAGCTTAGAGACTTTTCTGCCAATCTCGTGTCTTCAGTTTGCAAAAGGTTGAGTCCGATTCTGATTAAGCAAAATTTTCTCTTTGTAAATGGCCTTTCTTGGGATCAGATGGTAGCCAAATAAGTTCGGCTATCATGTGTGATGGGGAATTCTAAGTCATCGACCATTCATTTTATCAGAACAGTTCTCAAATCTTCACCCGTTAATGTCTGATTCCAGGAGCTCTTTCATGTTTTTCGCAAATGTGATGTTTGAATGCAAAGTAGGAGAGTGCACATGCTAACCTCATGGAGGTGATAGTTTTGTAATTTGTAAAGCTTTATCGTGCATGTTGCACACTGCCTATGAAACCAAACACAGTATATTATGTTAGATTGTCACCGCTGGGAATTTCACTCTCGTGCTTCTATGTACTCTCTTTTGCCTCCTTACTGCGGTCCATTGTGAAAAAATTTAGTTGGTCTGAGTTCATATTTTCTCAAAGTAGGAACGATATTTGAACTTTAACAATATTTACTTGATCAATTTTTACATTTAGATTTAGGTTAGGTTCGATTCTTTTCCATCTTTTTAATATTAGGAATTAGCCTACTGTTGATTTAATATGATATGTCAGTGTTTTCCTTGACTTTCATAGTTCCTTTGAGTATGGACATGTTATATTTAAGGGAGTTTGTTGAACCTAATGTTGGTTTTGCAAGTTCAAATGCAAAACAGATCTCAATTCTAACCTTGGTCGTTCATTTACGTATATCTGGTAGTTCTGTTTATGTCAGTGTTTGGCAATCGATTTGAAATTCAGTGTATCAATTCTGTATTTTAATTTATAAAAGGTCTGTGCAGATTTGGTAACATGTATCACAATCTGCAGTCTCGACTGACAAAAACTCTGATCCATGCTTTTCTTGATCCCTCTAAAGCACTTACCCAACATTATGGTGCTGTTCAGGGGCTCTCCGCATTAGGACCCAGTGTGGTAATTCATCATACTTTCTTCCGTCACTACTTCGTATATCTCACTGACTGATATTGTTTGACCTGCTAGGTTCGTCTTCTAATTCTGCCCAATTTGGAGACTTACCTACAACTTTTACAGCCAGAAATGCTATTAGAGAAGCAAAAGAATGAGATGAAAAGGAAAGAAGCTTGGCGTGTCTATGGTGCCTTGCTGGTACATTTCTTTGACCTATTATCACCCTCGATATTCAATTTATATTTTACATATAAAAGGAAGTAGAAGTCTCTCGTCAAAAAATTTTATATCACCAATGGGTTGCATTTTCAGTGTGCTTCTGGCAAATGTTTATATGAAATGCTGAAGGTGTTCCCTGGTGTGCTATCGCCACCTACACGCCAAGTTTGGAGGAATAACAGAAAAATTGCAATAACTATGCCAAGTAAGATTAACTTACTGGTCTTTGAGATGGTTATATAAGTTGATTTTAGTATGATTATGCTATTTATTCACAGTTATATAAGGCGTCTCATTTGCAATGATATAAATGATATGCCTTTATAATGGCCTCTCTAATTAACTACATGGACCTCTTAAAACTCTTACACAAGTAGATGCATGAGATTTTATCGAAAGCTAGACATATTTCATGCTCGAAATTGGATGGTGCTATAAATGATATATTCAGATAGATTAGGGTGACTGGAAAATATCATAGTTTAAATGTGTTGGCTAATGTGAAGAAAACATGTTACCTCACTAAAGAGAAGGAGATACTAGACTAAAAAGTTACTAACCCCTTCCCACAAATCAGTTCAGGTCTGGATTAGTTTTCTTTCTATTAGCTGATGTCTGGTTTCAGGCAATATTCAGGTATAAGATGAGATCATTATGAAAACAATAATTTCCAGGTTAATTCCAAATGCACCCTTGGCCTATATGGGATTAGCCACTTAATACCCTTTTTTTCAATTAGTCCTTGGCCCCCTGTTGTTCATCTCTCGCCGATATCGAACCAGTGACATGAGTGTCATGCTATTATGTCGATGTATTGCATAGAGGGCTCCTGATAATTCAGTGTATTGCAGGGAGACCTTCTATTTATATTTGTTGAACACAGGTGCAGATATTGAGAGGAAACTTGGTTTGGACATTAGGAAACCTAACTGCTATTTAAAATGTCTACCAGTAGGAACTAGTTAGCTCTCTATAGCATGTACAAGGGTTGTATCAGCAGTTAACCCTTTGTAAGCAAATACTTTTTATTTCCCTAGATAAGCGCAAGGCAGACTCCAACAATACATTACAACAACCACCTCTAAAGAAGCTCGCCATCGACGGCACAATGAGTTCGATGCCACCGATGTCCATGCAATCCTCATCTGAGTCTGGAGGTGGGCCTTCGACTTCATCGGGCCCAGGCCCATTATCGAACGAAAGCACTTTGAGTGGAAAAGGAAAAGAAAAATTGGGCATCAGTAGAGCACAGAAGACGCAGACTGCTCTGGCTCAGGCGTGGAGAGAGGATGTGGACGCTGGGCGCTTGTTGGCTTCGTTGTTTGAGTTATTTGGTGAACGTATACTCTCATTCATTCAGCCACCCGAGATGTCTCTTTTTATTTGAATAGGACTGCTAACAAGTTTGTTGTTGGAGAGCTTTGCAGATTAGTCCAATTTTAGACGGATTCTGTTTCCAGGGAGATGTAATATGTTCAGTAGTGTAGAGTAATCCAGCGGGAAGTTTGGAATGTAACGCAAAGATTAGCGAGTTACGTTTGTGAAAGCACTCTTATCTGAATTAGTTGTAGGACAGCTTGCACTTGTAAATGCAATGTGTTTAAGGAATTCTTAATTCCTATTTACTAGATAAAAAGTGTAATCTTGTATTGACTTACTTTGCACTTGTTCCGTACGCGTAGCTTACTCTTAGATGTGAAGCAGTTTTGCTCAAATTGCCTCCCCAAATGAAAATTCTAGTCGGAATTTAGGCTGGGCATTAAAAATAAAAAAAAAACTTGAATTCTCCAAGAATGGGATAGATTGAATGGTATTTTATAAATACAATATAATCACGAAGGGACGAGCTAAAAGACCGTAAATACATCTATAATATATACTATAAACAAAACAAAAGCAGAAGCTCAATGCGATTCATAATGACTATCAAACTACACCGTTACCCATACCATTACACCAACTGGTCTCCAGTCGGCCTTGAATGCGTATATGATTTACCAATAGAAGAATCATGTAGCAAATTTTTATTTGCCGTAAACAAAGAGAGAGAGAGAGAGAGAGAGATGCGTTCATGGATACACAACCTGACATCAGAAGCCATGCCCTTGATACACTTGAAAAAGTATCAGAATAACAGCAAGAGGGCGGAAGTGTGCCATAGCACCTGTGACTTGCAACTGAATAATTCCTTTACATTAGCAAAAACGTGCAATAAAATTCGGGGGGAAAACATCGCAAAGAGAACAAAACAGGGTGAAAAAAAAACCGTATATAACATATTTGCATAAGCAGTAACTCCAAACACGGAAGAGGTCAGTAACAAGATTGAGTAAGGTTAGAAGAAGAGCTTTCGAGGCTTCGAGGGAACTGGAGAAGAGTAGGTAGCCTTGAGAGGCATTGATGAAGCTTTCATCTCCTGAGCCTGAGCTTCGGCAATCTTTGCTGCTCTTGGGTCTGTGAGAAGCGTTTTCTGAAATGACTGAGAAAATCCTGTGGCTATTATTGTGACATGGATCTCACCGGTGTATCGGTCATCAACAACTGCTCCGAATATTATGTTTGCTGAGGGATCTGCTAGACTAGTTACTACCTAAAAAGATCCATGGACAGACTCAGGTTTTAGTAGGAACAAGATGACAGTAGCTAAGAAGAATAAACAGCACAAATACTGCCTTTTTAATTATCAAATTGAATGAGAATTAGTAGTAGGAATCACGCAATGTCAACAACTAATATAGGGTTTTTTAGTTACGTTCTATAGAAAATTTCAATACAAAAAAATAGGCCCTCAGATTATCATACTAGAAACCGATCCCCAAAATATATGGGGTCTTATAAATATATGTTTCTCATTATCTTCCATTAAATTTTGGCTTTAAAATGGAAAATAAATACTATGACTTCATTTTTTATCAATAGAAAAGGGCCAAAAGCCGCCTCCTTTCACCATTCAAATTAGAGATACATTTTCACTTTGAAGATAATACGTCACTTGATAAGGAAAAAAAAAAGAATGTTTTCCTCTTATTTTCAAGCCATGATAGAGGAGCAAAATTTCTGAAACCCCACATCACTAGGGGGATGGATTCGACGAAATTCTAAATTCATGATCTGAAGGGTACTTTTTACACAGAAAACTCAAATAGTGTATCCAAAAGATTGCAATGAAGATTTAGTAAACTTTCTATTATTTGATAGCTGATACAAGGAATATGGGTATGCTTGGTACCAAGCACAAATTTTGTGCTTGGTAGTGATGTGTCACATCCTCATCCACTCCATACCCATGTGAATGTGGTCCCAAATTTGAATGAGTGGAGGAGGATGTGACACCTTACTAACAAGCACAACTTTTTGTGCTTGGTACCAAGCATACCCATATTTCTCTCTCTCTCTCTCTCTCTCTCTATATATATATATATATACTACGTATCCAAATGATTGCAGTTTAGTCACTTTCCATTGATTGTATTTACAGAGTTCAACTTGCAGGTCAAATGCAGTCCCAGAATTTAAGATAAGAAGTTATGTACTTATGTCCTCCTTAAAAGTGTGTTAATGATTAATAAGTGCTAAACTATTCAGGAAAGTTAAGAGAGTCACCTGGGAGACTCTGTTTACTTCTTGCAAGGTGATGTCCTTTCCGCCAGTTATATTATACACAACTCCAGTTGCAGACTGAATTGAAGATCCAATAAGAGGAGCTAAGGTTGCTTGTTCTGCTGCTTCTTGTGCTCGGTTCTTACTAGAGGAAACACCAACACCGAGCATTGCAGTTCCGGAGTTCTTCATTACAGCTTTCACATCGGCAAAATCAACATTCACAAGTCCAGGGATCTGCACAAATGGAAATTATTATAACGCTATTGAGGACAATGTAAAGTCATCAAACTACTGGCAGACAATATTCCAATTCCAAGTATATCAACACACAGTTATGATGTCGGATATCCCTTGCACCCCTTGGCGTAAAACATCATCAGCAAGAAGAAATGCATCTTGAAGTGGGGTTTGCTCATCAACTAGATCCAACAACCGGTCATTGGGAATCACTATAAGGGTATCGACACTCTTTTGCAACTTCTCTATAGCCTCTAGTGCCTGCATTTAGGAGATGAAAAAAAAATATCAATTCATCACATAGATTTCTCATAGAATTGATGGCCTAATTCCAAAAAGAAAACGAAAAAGGAAAAAAAAGAAATAGACAGATCTGTCAATGTCAACAATATCAGACAAAGCATATCGAAATGTCAGCTCCTTAGTGACCTACATCTTATAACACAACACCCCCACCTCCCCACCCCACCCACCCAAAAAAAATGGAATCCCCATTGATTGTGCGGCACATGTGTACGCTCGTACACATACCATATGAGATTTTTATGCAATATCATATCAAATGGAATTACAACTGTTATGAACTGGTTGTTACTTGGAGGAGTTCGAGCTCCCCCTTCTCTAAGACTATGATCACATGAAATCCCAAGTGTAAACTATATTAACATAAATTGTTTCATAAAACTAAGACATTAAGGGGGGAAGAATCCCCATTGCTCGAATCAGGCAACAGTGCTTTCTCCTCTACCTTATATTTCGAGCAAAGAGCTAATAAAGATAATGAAAGAACAAAGGGAAACCTGCCTGTAAAGATCGTTTGCGACCTTCAAAGCTGAAGGGATACGTAACAACACCGACAGTTAAATAACCGGCTTCCTTAGATATTTGAGCAACAACTGGTGCAGCACCAGAGCCAGTGCCTCCACCCATACCAGCAGTAATAAAGACAAGATCTGAATCCTTCAGGGTGTTGGATATAGCTTCTCTAGATTCCTCAGCAGCTTGCTCCCCTAGAAGAGGATTTCCTCCCGTACCTGAATTATAGTAGAAAATACAATCAAAGAATTGGACTATCATAAACAAAATCAATCCTATCAACTTTTAACCTCTGTTAGAAAATACAATCCAGTGGGAGAGAAGCATAGTATTAGTATGACTAAATGGTGAAGAAAGAGGTCTTAATGATTCAGTGTGTCATCATCTTCTGTTTAGCAATAGGTTAGTAGGATGACGGAGTATTATGAGCCAATATGAGTTTGGATTTGCAATGTGCTAAAAAGGAGTGTGATTATGGCTGTCAAAGCAGATGTACACAGTGCATCTAGTAGCCGAATCCTTTCAGATTATGAATTATGGATATATGTTTATTAAATGTTTAAGAAGTTCAAAAGCGTTGGTTTCCAGAACAGGCAGTTAAAATGAAAAAAAAAGTAGGGTCCTCAGTTAATCCTTGAGCGAAAATTAAACCACTTCTGATCAATATGAAACTGAACACAAGGTAAAAAAGACTGACCTAGCCCACGGGTCAAAAGCTCCCCAATTTGTAATGGATTTTCCGCTTCTGAATTCAATAGAGCCTGAGCATCCGTATTGATTGCGTAGAAATCAACACCCTGAAATTGTACAAGTTTAACATAACCTCCTTGGCTTGCAATCGAAAGAGCAAGTTCTTTTTTTTTTCTCTTCTCTCTTTCTTGATCTCATATTGCCAAATTTCAATTTAAAATGCTGCCTGATTCCAAATTTACCCCCAATTCTTGCCTCATTAAAAAAAATTTATACCCCCAATTCTACAAATTTGATAATTTGCCCCCAAATTCTATTACATTGAATTAAAATATACCAATGAGCGAGCTTTCCTCGAGAAACTTTCAACTCAGGGCATCATCAACTCAAAATCTCCACAAATTTTTACAGAAAACGGAGGCAGTAAAAAAGCATAATTTTGGAATCAGGAACGAACCTGCAGCCCGCTTCCGATCATTCTGTTGACGGCATTGTTCCCGCCTCCTCCAACTCCGACCACCTTGATCCTCGCTGAGTCCATTGTAACAAAAGACGAGCCCGAGCAGCGAACTGATGATAAAGTTCGCCCTTTTCTTCGACAATTTGGGGGCCGATTGAACTGAGAGAAGAGGTTCCGGGGCGAGTAGGGAGAGATTAAATGGGTTGAGCTCGCAATTCGAAGAGAGGAAGCCATTGGAATTTATCGGGGAGTGAGGAGAGGGACTGAGAGATTGAAGAAATCTAGGGTTTAGGGGTTTTGAGAAAAGTGCAGGATTGGTGATTTCGGTCACGTGATTTAACGGCGATCCTTAAACTCTTTTGTAGTGACAGAAATTACCCTAATTATCTAAGTATTATACCCCGTGTGACTCACTATTAGCGTAAATTACACTTAAATATCCCTGTAGATATTCTCACTTACAAATAGCTTCACTTACATGCTATTTTAAAAATATTTCAGCTCCTATTATTCTTCTTAAATCTGTTGTTAAACCTATCGAATATTTTTTAACCTACCATAATTCTATAACAAAAATAATTTTCAAAATTTAAAATGTTCTGAAAAAAAAGCTTATCTCTCCTCTGGTAAGACTAAATATCAGAAAACTACCCTAAACTTTGAACGATTATCAGAAAACCCCATTTAAATTTAGGGATTATCAGAAAATCTTCTTAACCTTGAGATTTTATTTAAAATCCTCTAGTGATGTACTCGTGAGTCGTGACGCTTTGCTCTGAACTATTCCGGGTAATTTCGTAATTTCTGTCTAGTTTCGAACCCAGTTTAGAACACAGAAGATATAAAGCGATCCTCTGAAAAATCCACAATCCAGAAATCCTATCCTCAGCGATGGCGGTTCCGCTCCGCTGCTTCCGCCTGCCTCCGCCGCCGCCGCCTCAAGGAATCTCCGGCGGTAATCGCACCTACGGTGAGCACCTTTCTTCTTCGTTTGCCACCGGATAGTTACCAGTGACTCCACCGTTTACTCTCAAATTTGTCACCTTTTTTGGGAAATTTTACCCTCGAGGTAGGAATGAGAGCAATGCAATTAGAATTCTTGTTAGTTTTTTTTTTTAATTGGACTTTATTAGTGATTTCATCTTTAGATATCTATGGTAATCTTCTAAATTCTAGATTGAAGTGGGTTTATGTGAAGATTGAGGTCTAGTATGACAAAATTATTGTTTCAAATTTCTGATCTTTTTTTAGTGCGTTGGAGAGTTATGGTATACTGCTAGATGCTGGAAATGAGTGGTGTGTTTATGTACAAGTAGAAATTAATAATTCTAATGTAGGTGGAGAATTTGGAGTTTTATCTTTTAGAATTTGAAGAAATAAAGATATTTTCCCTTTGTAAAGGTTGAAGTTTTCTCAAAACTTTACCCTTCCATAGTAACTTAAGAAGAGAAATGAACTTAGATGCAGTTCGAAGATATCACGACTAGTTATGGTCAATGTCTTTTTCACCTCAGAACTGTCGATTTTATTTGATACATCAAGCTCATTGTTGCGTAAACTTCCTCTTTTTCTCATATCAGAACTTATTTAACTGTAGAATACTATTTTTTCTGATCATATCCCGCTTGCTACTTCTATCCTTTGAAACCAGAGTATGTAATGATTCTTCCATCGAGAAAGAAAAAGACATTGATGTTTTCGAGTTCACGAAGCAATGAGCTCAAGTTATCTAAGGGAAGGCTTTTGGACATGGTCAAGTTCGACGAGGCTCTAGCCAATTGGAAGCTATTGTTCAGTCACATATCAGAGCATCAGGTATGATGGTGAGTTTCTTGAAAATCCATAAGTGGTCTTAGTTATTACTTTTTGTTCCTTTGCTTCCATTTGTAAATGATTGAATCTGTTACAGAAGTCTATTATTTATCATTCATTTCTGCAGAGAACAGCAGAATTCAGCTTCACAAAGGCATTTGTTTTTGCAAACACTTTGATGATCATTCAGCCTCTCGATGCTCTAGCAGAAGTATGCGAGGCTGATAACTCTCTCTTCAACATGCCTTTGCTTCTTGGAGTAGCCCTTGTTGGGGCTACTGTTGGGGGTAAGCAAACTTTATTTCCTTAGAGGTGATTTATATGACATTACATTGTCCTTCTCTTCTTTCAAGATTCTTGTTTGATTCAACTATTGAGATATAAAGCGCTGATTAGCTGTGTAGTTTGACTTCGTCATATCCATAATCCATCACTATATTTCACTTGAAAATGCTAATTTTTTTCTTTCACATTCACCATCACATTGTGGCTTCTTTTTGTGATATCAATTTGACTTTATTGTTTACATCTGAGTGACTGACTTCATAAATTTCCTTCCAAAATTATTTGACAAAAGGAACTTATACGCTTATCCAGTGGTATACAAAACCGTGTTATTCTTCTATGTACTTCCTTTTTCCTTTAAAGCAATTTAATTTGGTATGTTACGACTTGAAGGATTGCTAGCACGGCAAAGGAAAGGAGAACTGAAGCGGTTGAATGATCAACTGCGACAAATCAATGCAGCATTAAGAAGACAAGCAAAGATAGAAGGTTATGCTCCAAATTTGAGCTATGCACCAGTTGGGAGAGTGACAGAAGAAGAAGTCATTGTCGACCCCAGGAAACAACAGCTACTTACAAATCTGAGAACTGGGAAGAATTACTTGAGGAACCAAGATCCAGAAAAAGCTTTTACAGAGTTTAAGGTAGCAATTGAGCTTGCACAGGATCTGGGTGATCATGTTGAGGAAAAGAAGGCAGCAAGAGGCTTAGGTTTGGTTTCATTCTCTTGTAGACTTCTGTTTTGTTTTTATATATATAGTTTGGTATATTTGAATAGTCAAGTCATATCATGATTACATTTTTAACAGAATGGATACTTGGGTTTAAATTAAAGCATCCTATATGGTTTATCTTCTGTATCCTTTTGGAAATTGCTGAGATATACGTACATTTGATTCAGATTTACCCATTAAAATGTCTTCCAGTTTAATATCATTGTATCTCAAGAGAAAACAATTAAATGTCCAAAATATTTTTTTTTGGTTTTTTTTTTTGGTTGGGGGGGGGTG